TATATATACATGTATACACATAGGATCCCTATCTAAAGCTTATTCGAAAGTGGTCTTTTTATTCACTGTAAAAAAAATTTTCTTAATTTTTTGAAACAATGAAACATAAAAACTTGATATCATAAGGAATAATATGAAATTTGTCTGAATATAGCTTCCGATATTCGTTTTTAAGAAATCATTGAGCAAAGTAAGTAGCAAAAATCACTGTTTTTTCGACCGGTGACAATAGCAAAGGCGGAAAGCATTTTATATTGTATAAAAAAACTTGTATAAACACATTTACACTTATGAAATATTTTATACTATATAAAAATGAAATAAATTTTTATAAAAATTTTCATAATGGTGAGCATTAATGTACTCATTAGGTTGAGCACAACTGCAGTCAGAGAACGTCCTTAAGTAAAAACTAATAAACGCATTTTATATGGCTTTTACGATTATTTATTGACTGAAGATAAAGATAGTTTCCGTCCATTTTTACAAGTGTTTTAAAGCGATCTCATCATTTCATTTCATCCAAATTCTCTTTATTTACAAATGGCATGTAAGAAAAATTAACGTGTCGTTTATGACACATTTCTCGCTTATCATGATTCAATATGACTGGAAATGAATACTCAGGAGCCTTAACTACATAAATCAATCAACGAGAATTACCTAGATGGTCCATAATGAGTTTTCACGTATTCAACAAGATCATCTCGCGAAATGCATTTGATATTTTTAGTAGGCCCCAGTATTGTCCGTCCTAAAGCTGTACCTTGATACGCAGCGGCATGCAAATGATCAAATACAACTTCTTGTAAATTCGTTTCAACTTCCTGCATTTCGCGCAAGATAACGCCACGTTCCCTTTCAATTTCATTTTCACCTAGCTTCGAATTTTGTATAATATCGCTGAGAATCTCAATAGCTTTTGGTACATCCTGTGACAAGCATTTTGCATAAAATACTGTTTGTTCTCGACTTGTGTAAGCATTCAGATGTGCTCCCATATTCTCTATTTCTAATTCCAAATCAGTTTGAGATCGTTTAGCAGTACCCTGTCAACAAAAGATTCTAGTATCAATAGAAACATAATAAATAATTCAATGAAAAAGCTAAATATAAAAATTATATAATTCTTACAACCTTGATCATAATATATAATATATAATATAAGTAATAATAATAAGTATAATATATAATAAGTATATAATAAGATAAAATATAATAAGTCTATCCTTTTTTTTTAAGCAACAATAAAATCTAAAGAAAAAAGCTAATAAAATATATATTAACAATAAGAATCTTGCTTATGTCGCATATGTGAGAACACAATCAATACTAGAAATTAGATGCCTATACTAATGGTTGAAACTGGATTTTTAATGCTTAAATCAGAGCTGGGATTTAGTTGCACATTTCAGTCAATTTTCAACTCAGTTTGCTAACTTCATCAACCCTTGCGCAATCTAAATGCCGATCAGCATTTAGGTTGATGAAGTGAGGAACAGGAACCAGCTGAAAATCGATCGAAATGTGCAACTAAATCCCAGCTCTGGCTTAAATACATAATTCAATGTGAATTATATATGTACTATACATGTACATGCCATATATATCACATTCGTAGTCATTCGAACTGCGCGCCGAATTGCGGATCATTAAACGCAATTAAACTACTGTAATAATATCACGAATTAAATTAAATTGACAAGCAATTTTTAATAATTAGATGTTCAATCAGGCATCATATTAGAAAGATTAATGTGCTGAAAAACTATAAATAAAGAGTAACTCCAAAAAAGGGCCCGTTTTTGGGCCCTCAATTTTTGGACTAAACTGTGTGTCAAATGATACCCTACAATGAAACATTAATTACAAAGAAGTTTCAGGTTAAGGTAACAATTGTTACTATAGCTGAAGGGGGTGTCATGTGTGTGTTAGGCATATTACGGCTATGCGAAAATCTGATTTTTTTTACATTCAAGGCGTCATTTACGCAAGACTCTGTACTTGCAGAAGTCCACCACAGTGAGCTATATACATATTGGAGTGAGCCTTTCCTATGCTAATGCTGGAGAGGGGCGGCTGACGCGACAGCCATGCGTGATGGATATGTCTGTCTCACTTTAGTAATAGTACATGAATAAAGTGAGATAAACGTACTTTACGCACAGAGCTTACTGGTTTTCCACATGAATGAGCGTTCTTCTTAAAAGCTTCATAAAATACCAAACTTGCAGATCTATGATAATTCAACAGACTTCGATTCCACCTCCCCTCGCAGCTCTAAAAACAATTGTCACCTCAAGTTGAAACTTCTCTGTGATTAATGTTTCATTATAAGGTACCATTGCACATAGAGTTCAGTCCCAAAATCGAGGATCCAAAAACAGACGATTTTGGGATCACTTTTTATTGCAAAAAATACCGGGAATCGAGCCGAATATCTTGTATTCCGGACGAGTGTCCTAATCCTTTAAGCGTAGTCTACAATAAGTTATAAACACTTCGTCGCCAGTCGCAATGCTTAGTAACAGTCAATCAGAAGCGTCAATTAGTGATGCATTGCGACCGGCAACGGTGCATTGGCAACTTATTGTAGACTATGCTTAAGACTATCCGCGCATTAAATATATATTAAAACTAACTGTTATACAAATATTTTTCAATAAAACTATTTTTTAATTTATTTTTGTTAAATGTAGAACTTTTACATCAATTTGTTGCCTTACACGCTTGGCCCAGACTGTACAGCCATTAGTTATATATCACAGTTTTATCATTCACTCTAGTGATCATAGATAATCATTATACGTAATCATTAGAAATCTACACTAAAAACCACAACTAAAAATATTATTATTTATTAGTGACATTAATTAGTTTTACCTTGAAAGCCATGTGCTCCATAAAATGAGCAACACCGTTGTTGTCATCTGTCTCATATCGACTGCCAGAATCTATCCAAAGACCAACAGTGGCTGTTGCAGCTCCACTATCTTCACTGGCAACTCTCATTCCGCTATCCAAAGTCGTAACTCTCGTAGCTGGTTGATTGATAAGTGTTTCTTTCAGAGAAGCAGCAGTTGACTGCCATTGTTTTGATATCTAGAGAAGTATCATTAAACAAAGTCTAAATAATACCTTCCATTAAAAATATATAAATTATCTACATTCAGTTTTACTATATTTATTTATAAATCCTTTATTAAATAATACTTAATTTTTTTATACATTTTATTACATTTATTTTGACGAAACATCTAAATATATCAAATATTTTACTAAACATTTTATATAAGGTAAAAAATTTTAATTTGTATCAATTACATTATGCACAAATGCTGCTTTTATGGAGCAAAATTTCATTTATATAAAAAGTCATCCATATTACATAAATCTCAAATTTCCATCAGTAATATTTGTCATATTTATGTTCTTAATTAATTAATAATAAGGTGTATACATACACACGCACACATATATAAATGTTCTTATATTTGATCAAAACAAGATCTTAGTGCTTAAATATTTCTTGTAATAAAAATTTATAAATATACATCTGACTCTACTTATTGCACATCAAAATCTTTTTCAGTCTAGAAACACCATCATAAGCAAAACCAAAATAATAATATAACTTTATTAACTTGATAAGAAATTTAATAATTTTTGATAGTAACAAGAATGTTTTTTATTTAATGTTAATAATTATATGATGATTTGTTCTCATCAGTCTAAACTCGTATCATATCATTAAATGTTCTTTTTCATAATGGACTCGTTAAATTACATCTGTCAAAATAAATAAAACGTAAACACAAGAGACCAATATTTGCCTATTCATTTCTACTAATGTAAATTAACTTTAATCTCGGTTTAATTAATTAATTTTTTTTCTAATTCTTAGACCCAGTTTCACAACTCACAGTTAATTCTTAACGAAGATTCAACTTATTCATTATCTCTTTCCAATTTTAGAACTGGAAAAAGATGAAGAATAAATTGAACCTCGGTTAAGAGTTAACTATGAATTGTAAAACTAGGCCTTAGAATTATAAAAAGATAAAAGCAAATTAAACCGAGATTAAAGTTAATCTACATTGATAGAAATAGTGTACCTTCCAACAAGCAACACAAATGACACAGTGTGACACAATCGATTATTACATTCTTATTTGCCTATGTTAAATAAAAATGATATGATCAATGTGTTACACCGTATCGCTTGTTAGAAGGCACACATAAGGCCTGTTCTTTTTGGTTGAACTTTTGCACCAGTTCATCGTTCTTTCTTTTCTCTCCAGGAGGAAAGTAGAGGAAGAAAAATGAACTGGTGCAAAAGTTCAGCTAAAAAAAAACAAGCCTATAGATATAAATAAGGTTATGTACCTGAGGATATGTATTCCAAGTGCATTTCCAACTTTTTTTGAAAGGAATAACTGTTTTCCAATCTTTATTGAATTTTATAATAAAATAATATAAACCACAGTCGTATTGTTTCTGAATATTATACGTGTTAAAATCTTTATTTTTTTTCTTATTACGTAAGGGGAAAATATAAAAGAGATAAATCTTCAATTTAACTCAAACGCAATTATAAATGAATCGATTAAGAAAATCGTTATCACAATGTAATGATTGTATGTCACGTTTTACCTTTACAAAGCTGGTTTTACTGGAATATGTGCGAAGAACGCTTCTAATCTTCAGCAAACGAGTAGCCATTTTTCCAATTTATTTGGTTGCGTTCAGCAGACTCAACAGTTCAGTGAGTACTCGCTGCTATTGATATATTCTTCTAGATCTAAAATTCTGATTGGATGATCTAAAAGATTACACCAATAACAGCGAGCGCTCACTCAACTATTGAGTCTGCTGAGGTGCGTTCCAAAACTTGACTTTGTTAACTCCAAGTATCTTTTGGCTCGTATTCAGAATGCGCTTTTCTTAATAAAAGCGCGCTTTTATCTCTAAAATTCTATAATATGCGTAACGTAAATTATAGCAGTTAGCGCACTAACATCATTGTAAGCGCATTCTGAATGCGGGCCTTTATCTTTATTCAACATTCGGTGACTAACAAAGATAAAATAATATTCGAGTTGACAGAATTGAATTTTGGAACGCAACCCTGAATGCATCCAATGACTGCCTATAATGATAGCATAGGTGCTGTTCGATGACTAGTATAGCTGAACGCGTATTCATAGATATTTATATGTAGCCAGAGAGAAGGTTTCTCTACGGCAATACGCGTTATAGAACGGCACCCATGCTTCTACTATGGATAGTCATTGGGCGCATTCAGGGTTGCGTTCTAAAATTTAACTCTGTCAACTCGAATATCATTTTGTTCTTGGTCACCGAATGTTAAATAAAGATAAAAGAAAATCTTGAAGTTAACAGAAGGTTTGTTCGTGTTGCATGCTCCAAATGAACTCAGAGAGCACTTGGATCACAGGTAAGGTGGCGGTTGGAGCACTAGCAGTTGCATTCATGTGTTCCAATGTTTAGTAACGCAAACGGATTTAGGACAAGTGAGTATGTCACTTAATCTAATCTGTGAGACCACTCAAACGTATCGAAAATGTGTCTCGTTTCGTTTCGGGTATTTTGTGTTACCTCGATTACTTGAAAAGCGTTTTTATACAAAATAAATACGTTTTTAATAAATATAAAAAAAGTTATATTATATTTTTATATTATATTTTATTTTATTTTATTTTATATTTTATTTTATTTTATTATTTTATTTTAATATTATATTATATTTTTATATTTATATCAAAAACGCATTTATTAAATGTATTTTTATACAAAATGAATCTGAAATACTTTTTTCGATATATCGTAATACAAGGTCTGGCTATTAAATAACGAG